CTAACACAGAGTTATTCTGCGTAGAGTGAACTATCTATGAACCTTGAATAAAAACGTAATGTCATGAAGCACAAGCACAGGAGGACAGCAGAGGCCCCAAGGACCGTAATCACAAATCACAGTGACTATGGGAGTGCAGCCTTATGGAGGCAAATGACATTGGGAACAGAAAACCAAGAATAAACCAGTTAATTTTGACTGACTTTTAATACTTTAGTTAGATGAACAATAACTTTTTGTGTCCATGTATAAGCTGTGTTCCCTTTCTGTCTATAAATAAATTGCCTGTCCACCAATATGTCCCCATGGTGAACTGACCAATATAAAAAAAAACAGTTTTGTAAAGGATACTCAAAAATAAAATTTAAAATAATCTGAAAGGGCTCTTGGAGAATAAATCCATTTGTTTATCCATATGAGGCAGAAAAATGCAGATGTAGATATAGATATAACCTGTAGGAAAAATAATTTTATTAAATAAAAATAAGGAGTTTATAGAAGCGCACACTTTTAAATTAAAATCCCTACAGAGATGTATATACACCCTTCTTAATTACCTAAAAGTAAACCTTTTTCCATACAACATTTTGTGAAATAACTGTTGAAAACCTACTCAAGTTCTGCAGTTTTTAATCATTTTTAAAGGCTGAGGGACAATTTAGGCAGGTGAACTAGCAGTGACCTCACCCAGCTCAATAAGAAGGTATGCTTGGCTGCTCTCTCCTAAATGAGATAAGGATGTGGGATACAGGCTGTTCATCTTTGCCTAAACTCAGGTCCCAGATGTATAGCCCAGCATCTGATAATGGAAAGTATCAGTACCCATTATCTGATGTCAGAAGCACCTTCTCCACAAGGGAAATACATGCTGAAAAGACCAGAAGTGGAAAGAAGAGGTAAAAGAATTAATTTTTAAATAGTTACTTGACAAATAGCAACAATTATGTTTATCTGCTTTGATAACTGCTTTGAGATCCCAAGGCATTACACTGTAATACTATTAGGGAAACACAATGAATGTATTCATACTATATTAATATCTGATAAGTATCTTTATTCAAGGCTGAAACAAAGAATTTAAAAATATTTTCTCTCTCATCTGTGCTGAAGAAGAGTCTCGTGAATCTCATTGTGCTTTCTTCCTGAGCATAGAAAATAGGGTAATTTTATTCAGTTCAGGATAATGTAGATGAATTACATAAAACTTGAGCTGGATTTGCTAGCTTACTAAAGGAACAGAGAAATGTGTTATTCTTCTCCTATTCCTTCCTGTCCACTCCCTCTCCAGTTTCCACATGTATCACTGGAAGTTCTACCAACGCTGTTCCAGTGCTTTCATTTCACAGTACTCAGTGATTCAAAGCAAATGGGGCTTCAGTCAAAAGACCTGTCTGAGTCAAGAAAACAAGATACTGTGAACAGAACCGAGCTTTTATCCCCAACAGATTCAAAGACCACCTTTGTAAGAGGTGCTGTTTCACACAGCAGAACTGTGCCCAGACAGGTGTAACTGGAGCAAGGCTGCTGCAAATTCCCTGCTGCTGCTAGGCAACACAAAATCTTATATTTATAATTTTAGACTCTGATTCTTACACAGGCAGATTATGGGCTCACAGGGAAGTGTCTGAAACCAATAATAGGCATTCTGAAGTGTGATTCTCATTTGAATGCTGATGATGCTTTATAATGCATAATCTGTACTGTAAAATGGAAGCTGATAAGTATTAGACATGTTTCCAGTATCTGCATGCTTTGTAAGCACAAAAACTGTATCAGAATTTTCATCAGGGGGCATGATAGACAAACATGTAATGATAAATGCCAGTAGTTTTAATTAATTGAAAATTCTGTTATTTTCATACTGATTGCAAAATTATATACTTTGGAAAACACTGTTTCTTATATAATAAAAATATTAACTGAGTACACAGCAGCACAGTATGATCAAATAGAAGAATTTGATGGAATAGAAGGTCAACTATAAAGACATTTCAGTTTGTGATTAATCACTTTATTTGTACAGAGCAAATTATATACTCACACAAATTATATTTAAGAAAAGTTATATACAGATGCATCAGATCACTACTTGTTTGTTTGGATAATACCAGTATATTACGTTCAAACCTCCTAGTTCACCTTCAGAAACTGTGAATAATCCTGCCCTATAGAGTATATTGTGATTGCAGTCTCTCCTGGCCACTGTGTCAGCAGTGTCATTTCTTGACTTTTTCCCTCTGTCCTCATGCTTTCAACCATGCCAGAAGGTACGAAGTAGCCAAACTCATCTCATGCACGTTAATTTTTTCATAAAATTTCTGAAGCATGTAAAATAAACTCATTCCTAGCCTTTTCATCATTACTTTTAGTTATTCATCCTGAATGATATCTGCCTCTCATTCAAACATATATTTTCTTGCTATTTCTACTTCCTTTACCTGTAACTATGTCTATCTGTTACCTGCACTCTGCACTCAGTTCTCTGAATTGAGCACTGAATTTGTTCAGCACACAATGGCAGATTTTTTACATGGTACAATAATGCAAATAAATACCAGTAATTCTGCATTTTGTTGTGTTTTCCAGTTTTGTTATATCATTACTGCATCATCAGTCACTTTTCTACTATCTTCCCTTTTTGAAAGCAACAGTCTAAATTTGTAACTTTCGGGAAGGTAAAACCCATAACCATGTAAGGTTAAAGTTTGGCCATTCTGGAAAAAATGGTCCTATTGCTAATGGATTTCTAGGATTAAAGAGAAGTGAAAAAAATTATAGCCCTCTTTTTCATAAAACCCGGAAGACATAAAGGGTGAGAAAATCTGACTGACATTATGCTAGTTAGGTCTTAGTAGGAATGCTCTCCAAATCCCAGTTACTCTCATCTGACTTATTAACAGTACGCTATGACCAATGGCAGCCAGGTAGAGGTAAGACACAGACAAACAGAAGCCATCTTCTCCGTGCTACAGTGTACTTGGAGTCAGATGCAGGGCAGCATAAAAGCAAGGATTTCTAACAAACTCCATATACAAGCCCTTAAACTGGCTTCCAGAAGAGACCTTTTACCAGCAATGTGATGAAAATAAAACATGCTATCATAGAATTGTTTAGGCTGGAAGAGACCTTTAAAGGTAACCTGGTCCGATTCCCCGGCAACACCAGGGGGATGGGACATCAACTAGATCAGGTTGCTCAACAATGACCACAAATCAGAAGAGGGGCCGTATCCCTCTTGCAACCAAACTCAACAGCACTGGCACTGGTAGACTGGAAGTGACCCTGGCAAGAAGAGTTTTCTTGAGTGCATCACTGGCCTCGTGTATACTTGCTACTTATATTTCCAACTGTATTTTTCTTGAAATAACATGAGACTGTCTAGTTCATCAATTTTCCCCTCTCAGGGACACAAAGTTCAGCAACACCATAGCCCTGAAAAAGTACAAACTGCACTTTCAGAGTATCTCGAAGACCTTCTGAGGTTGGAGAACATCCCTTTATAAGAACTGTTCCTGTACAAGAAAAGTTGATGTCCCTGTCACAGGGCCTTTTGTCACTTTTTGACAGAATCACTTACCTCAGTTGTACAGAATTAACACCAAAGGCGCTGCTACTGGATAAGTTTTCAAAACTAGGACACAGCTGGTCAACAATTTTGTGTTCTTTTTTCAAACAATGTTTTAGAAGGTTTCTCCTATCCCACAGTGGAAGACCAGGAACCAAAGCCACTAGAATACTGTACCTGGAAGGTCTCAAAGACAACTTCTTTTCAAGTGACACCAAGTTCCTAACAGCAATTTCCTATATATTTACTGAATTTATTTGTATTTAAATGTACATAATTTTCTATAGCAAATAGTAGGTTGGGTCTGTGTTTCTCTTGCATGTTACCAGACAGCTGTATGAATCTACTTCCATTCATTTTATGATCAAAAGTCTATTCAATTTTTCTGCCTCTTGTCCAATTAACTACACTTGCTCCATTCTATAAATCTGATCTTGAGTGAATGGGCTCTACAGAAGAATGTAATTTTATTCACTAGAATTACTTTTAACTTCATTTTCTGACTGATTTACGTTTTAGCATATCAGACACCTAAATACTTGGATGAAAAAATCCCTTTTAAAACTTTAATTTACATAGAGAGGTATGGGAAAAAATATTGAGATTCACAGTTCTGTATAAGAAAAAATAAAAGCAGTATTACTTGAGCAATTGTGTACAGATTTACCACAGAAAAACACTTACAAAACCTGAGCAAAGACGTACTTCAGACAATTAGTTCAGATAGAGAACATTAGAAAAAGAGTAAGATTGAGATCTCCTGCCAAAAAAATTGAGTACGTCAGTAGTAATCTAAGCAGCAGAAATTCTAATAGTCAAGCTGTCAAATTTGAACAATAAGGAACACCTTTTTTATTTAGGAGCTGTTCCTCATAACCAGATTTAATCAAACTTTCCCTATATTTGCATAATTTCTTCAAAGAGCTAGGAATAATGCTTTGCCATTTTCAATCTTTTTTCCTACATTAAGAAAATGCTTCAATCAAGTGTCTCTTTACAGTGTTAAATAAGAAATTTTGTCTTCAAGAAAGCATAAAAACTCTTTCAAAGCTGGGCATCACTGGCAAAATTAAAGACTTTCTTCTGAGCCAATGAGAATAAATTTCTCTCCATAAACTGTGTCTAGCAGGTGGAATCAAAATCCCTAGCCTAAAGCTGTTAATGCATAAAACTATGGTGCTTTGGGAGACATCTTCTACTTCCTCAGTTACACATTATTTTAGGGAAGAATGGTTGACCCTCCTGCCTCCACTGTCTGACTTTGCACATTCTGATGCACACCTGCAAACACTGTCAGCCTCAGGCCACACCTCGTTCCAGCTGTCCTGGTGCCCTGCTGACTTTCTGTTGAAGTTCACATGTTGAGGACAGAACGTTACAAGACTGAACTCAAAACAGGCTGAAATAAAAACAGTATGAGAAGGCTAGGACTTACTGGTACGTGGTTGGACTGACATTGATGCGGCGTGGGTGACTTCCTGACTCGAACTTGCTTGCAAGGGTGACATTGTTCCCAAAGAGACAGTAACGTGGCATTCTTACACCAACAACGCCGGCCAGCACTGATCCTGAGTGAATGCCTATCCTCATCTGGAAAAATTAGAGATCCATGTCAGTCTGCCTCTCTTGTGCTGTCCGCAGTAATGACTTGAGCACTTATTTATAAGCCAGTCACGGCAACCCTTTCAGAGAAATAATAAACCAAAGAAAGTGAACTGGAAGAAAACAAGCTCTCCCATTCATCTAGCTTAAAACATATGCAGTTAAAAAAAAAGAAAAAAAACATGGTTATCTCTACTAAAATTATTTTTTCATCTGTGCACATTTTCTGGAGAGTACATCAGTCAAAACAGGAATCATTAACAGAATAGGATGGGGTTACCTAGAGTTACTGCAATATCAGCCATCTAATTACACAAATAGATACATCACGGAGGGTTATTTTTGACACCATTTCTAACACAGGCTTTAAAGTAAAAGACACAAATTTTCTCAAACTGGCAGAATAGTAAAGTGGAGTGGATGAATATGGTACTTTTATCTTCTTTGTATTTTTTTTCTTCCAAAGTCCTCAAGGTCTAAGGTCTTTTTCACTTTGTCAGACTAAGAGATATTGCAATGGTGAAGATGCTAAAGATTAAGGCACCAATGATTTTAAAAATAATTGTGTGTCCCCCAAAATAAGTAGAAATAAATCTCCAGCAAATTAAAAAAACCCATGTGGCTATTCTAGATATCATCCCCTGTAACTGTCCAAGATGTGGTGATTACATTGATCTGTAAAGCCTGAACTCACCATCCAAGTTTCTTTCAGAATGAATAATTGAACAGAGACTTATTCTGCACACATTTTGGCAACCACTTGTGTTTGCCAAGAAAATAGTTTTTACAAGTAGAAAAGTATTTTTCTCTTGTTAACTTTATAATATTAAAAAATGAAAAGAAGATATTTATACGTTCTGAGGATACTCTCACTCATAGTAACTGAACTGCTGCAAAACATGAGATAATGTGAAGAAAATAAAGAGCAGCTAATAAAACAGAGGGTCTGATGGGGTCTGAATGAGTGACTTGAATACTACTATACTCAATCTTGTCCTTTGATTTAATGCACAGTTATCCCACTGTGCTTTTGTCTGTCACTCCCTATTTTTTTAATAATGCAATACATATTTACTCAAATATGTTCTGTACTCATTTTTTTAATGTTAAGACAAATGCCATCATTTTATAACCTTGGTGTCCATGAAGTTCTATGAACATATGGGACCCCACATTATTTCACTGACTACAGTCCTTCCTGTGCATCCAAGACTTTTATCATGCAGATAAGCATCCTCTTCATTTTGTTCCTCTCTTATATGTCACCGACAATGGTTATAGCATTATATCTGCTATACACTAAGCCCATGCATAACCTAAGAATATGCTGTTCTGCATTCAGTGTGATATTACTTCAACATTCTCACAGACAACATAAAACCTTCAATCTTCACAATAATGCTGTTAATTACGGACTAGGATTTTTTTTTAATCTAATAATTAATAGCACTCAAATTTAATTAATCTTTCAAACCTTTACTACAGTTTGGAAGACAGCTATTGAAATCTTTCAAATGCTCTATCCTATTGGGCTGGGAAGCACTCACAAACTTGCTTTGGCTTTGAACATCTGTGCAAACCCATCACACCTGCATTATTTTGGCCATATTTTGGGGCATTGAAGACTTCCTGCTTTTACCACAAGATACATTTAAACTCCATTGTTTACTTCCAGTGAAAAAAAAAAAAAAAGTGCTCCTGCAGTCAAAAACTGAGCAAACAGCCCTTCTGGGTATTAGTGAGGTCAGTATCTGCCCTCAGCAAAAGATTACAAGCAGAAAGTCTTGCTCACACAATAGCAAGTATGCTGTCAGCTTTCAATAAACAATAAAGAACTTATTTACAATGTCTTGTTTGTGAGATGGGAGAAGGATTAGTTATTTTGCACACAATTTTAAGAACAGAGATAATGCTACCTATTTGTTCCACTACTACTCTGCACATTTATTTAAGAATCACAAATAAAACACCTGCTGTTACCTCTTCTAAGCTACATTCAATCACATGTGAAGGCCAGACTGAAACTGTACGAAAAACCACTAGCTGGTTTTGCTGTTGGAAAGTGGAAATGAAAGTATACATTAGAGTGGAAGGAAAATCTGATAGCAAAAAATGTACTAAGAAAATAAAATTTACTTTTGCAATATATGCAATGAAAGCTAAAGTTGTTGGTGGTTGTTTTTCTGCTTTCACTTTTGAAGTGCTTCCTTTTATGTGTCCACAGAGTTTTTTATCATTCAGTGCTTCAGTGAAATAGGACTTCCAAAGGATTTCCAGATTCTCAGGAAGAAAATTTTAGGCTCTTTTGAAGAACCCAAACCCCACTCACACACTAAATGATTTCAAGATCTTTTCTCACGATTGTCTCAAAAAGACACTAGGGAAATGGCCTTTGTGGTTATAACTTTTCGGCATGTGCCAAGGAAAACAGATTTGCTGGAAAAATAAAAGACAATCTGATCTATTACCCTCAATATAAAATATTTTCCTTTGTAGGATTAGGAAAATGAAGCTAAAGCCATGCCAACTTTCACAGAAAAACTGAGACTGGGAGCAAAAATAAATGGATATTTAAAATTTCACTTAAGAGTATATAGTTTAGATCTTCTGTGAACTGCTTGACTTTCAGAAGAAGAAAGGAAAGAGCTTTTCTACTTAATATAGAATGTATATAAAGAAATTTTTAAAACATTTGGTTTGTCTGACTACACAACATTTTGTGTTCTGTAGTATCTGTGATTTTTTTAAAAAACATGCTCCTACAACAAAAAATGTAGATATTCTTATAAACACAGGTTAAACTACATAGAGCTACTGATGAGAGTGCCAAAATCTGGTTTTCATTGGGTGCAAGAGAGCTGATACAGGTTTTCTCATTAAACCATAGAGATATATGCCCAATACAAGACAAAATTACACCAAGAATGCCTTGCAGTAAAGCTCCACTTCTGCTTCATTATATGGTTCTCTACAAGAAAAGAGCCCGCAACACTGATGCTATTGCCATGAAGTATTCCTTGCTGTGTCTTCTTATATCGAGAATAACCATTATATTGGTCATATATTTCTTTTTAGTGAAATATGATTTTCATAAAAATGTCTTTTCAAGATTTTATTTCATCTGCAGATAAGGTATTCTGGCTTTTTCCTCACTGAGTTGAAAAGTGTTAACAGTTTAAGGCTTTTTTTTTTTTTTTTTTTTTTTTTTTTTTTTACAAAGGAAGAAAATGTGTAATCAAATTATTAGTAACAAGACACTGGGGCACATCAACCTCTCACATTAAGTTTGCAGCAAAAGAAAATCTGCCTAGAGCTTGACTTAGAACAATAATATCAGTTATACATGTATATCTATAGTTCCCAAGCTATATTGTATATGCAGCCCTTATTATTGCTTTCCCAGAACAGTTATCATTAAAGATTATTAATAACATATGAAATGCACATTAGGTGGTAACACTAGCATGCATTATTTGTTTATCATAACTATATTTATTCATTTATGTCCTTTAAATATATGTATAATATAGATTATATGTATAATTTACACTTAAATTGAGCATTTTTAATAGAATGCATGCTCTTCATCTGTGCTGACTGCTCCTTTATGTGTCCTTAATCAGCTGGCTAATGATAAAAGGGCAGCATATAACTGAGACTGCAAGTTCAGAGGCATTAGGCATACAAATGGAAAGACAGTTCTTTAGAAATAATCACAAAGAGAAGACAGATGTGGAAAAAAAACCCGAAAAACAACCAACCAAAAAACCCAGAAGATACCAGACCCCCATAGTTAAGGAACAGTGAAGAGATGGACAAAGGCCAAGGGCATTTCTAGGGAGGAATATTGGAAGGCACAATGGGGAATGAAACATGAACAGGTGTGAAAAAGAGCAAGAAACCTGTGAGAGGCCTTTTAGATAAAAAGAATTGAATTGAACATTCTACAATGTGTTTTTCTGATACACTGAAACTTAGAAGAGTTGTGTGTTACCCCTTTTTACACCTCCTAATTGCCAAAGCATGATTTTCCCTTTTTGTAGGTAGAAGTGCTGGGTTTTGTTTTGTTTTCACCTGCTTTCTGGTTTCTATCATTTCCAGTGACACCATATTGAAAACTGCACACTTCCATCAAAACAGCCTATTCCAAGTGAGGTGAAAGTAAATGCATCACTGAAAACTCACAACCCATTTACAGTCTATGGTGAAGAGGCAAAATATTTTATAAAGGAATGCAGTAGCATGCCTAAAGTAAATTTCATCATTGCTGAGTTATTTCTTAATAGCTTCTTCTGTTAATCAGTATGTTCACAATAAGCAAATCCAATAATCTGCTTTATATTCAAAGCTCCTGAGCTTTTTGTCTTTTGAAACCCTGATTAAAAAGTCATTCTCCTTTCTCTCTCATTTCCCCATGTAATTTTTGAGGAAAAAAACTTTGACATTAAAATGCAAGTGGAAAGACACCATTCTACAGTCTGAGAAGTAGCCATTGTCTTCTCAAGAACATTTTATAAAACCTTCTCAAATCTAACATTTTTGACCAATATATGTCTGCATATTGATAACCAATTGAACACATTAAAACCCGTATTTCCCTTCAGTCAAAACTGGGACATTGCATTACAAGACTTAAAAACACTTTCTTTATTAATTAGACCAAAAAATAATAGTTCAAGCTCTAATTCCTGAAAGAAAAATTAACTAATTTTTTAATTATTCTTCAAGCTTCTTATGTACATGGTGTTGTCCAAAAGTACCTGCAATCTTGGTTAAGGACTTACAAATCTATTTTAAAAAGTGTAAGTCTTGCTCAATTCAGAAGATAAAGGAGACATCAGAGATATATTTCCAAATAGGCAACAGCATGAAGAGTTACATATAGCCATGGCAGTGAGGAATGATTTCGGAGTTCAAAAGTCAAGTCTTTTTGTGGACATTACTGAAAGGCAGAGTAGGACAAAGAAGAGCTGGTGGGCACCTTTCTT